TTCGGTATTCCAAACACAAATAAATTCTAACAAAAATGTTGGTAAGTTTCAGACCGAGGTTCATTATCTTGGGAGGCTTCATCATATGAATCTTGTGAAGCTAATTGGATATTGCTTAGAGGGCGAGAAGCGGCTTTTGGTTTACGAGTACATGCCCAAAGGAAGCCTCGAGAATCATCTGTTTCGAAGTGAGTAACGATCAATTCAAATATGAAGTTAGATATACATTCAAGTTATGCTGATATTGAATATCAATTTCTTTTTTCTTGATGTTTTTGCTTGTGTGTGTAGGAGGCGCAGACCCAATCCCGTGGAAGACGAGGATGAAAGTGGCGATTAGCGCAGCGAAAGGACTTGCTTTTCTTCACGAAGCTAAAGTCATATACCGAGACTTCAAGGCCTCTAACATTCTACTTGATTCGGTACACCAACTTTTAAATCCAGACTAATCCTGAAGTTTGTATAACTGATTTTTCTTACCATTTAAAAAGAAGTCTCCAGTTGCCAAGATAGATATTTTTTAAATATTTATAAGATATATTTCTCCAATGCAGGATTTCAATGCAAAGCTATCTGATTTCGGATTAGCAAAAGCAGGACCAACAGGAGATAAAAGCCATGTGACAACTCAAGTGATGGGCACAAGAGGCTACGCAGCTCCTGAATACATAGCAACCGGCCGGTTAACCGCGAAAAGCGATGTCTACAGCTTCGGAGTGGTGCTACTCGAACTACTCTCAGGACGTCCCACGGTAGACAAATCAAAACTAGGAGTAGAACAGGATCTGGTGGATTGGGCAATACCTTATATGGTAGACAGAAGAAAAGTGTTTAGAATAATGGATACAAAGCTTGGAGGACAGTACCCGCACAAAGGGGCTTGCGCAGCAGCCAATATAGCGTTGCGGTGTCTAAACACTGAATCTAAGCTGAGACCGGAAATGTCTGATGTCTTGTCTACTTTGCAACAGCTTGAGACTTTGACAAAGACGGGATCTACTCCAAAGGCAGTCTTGTCTCCTTCATCTCATTTATCGGAGAATCGCAGGGTTCGGGAGATCTCTGTGTTGAATGTGAGAAAGTAGGAGATCTAGCGGCCCTTTTGAGTCTGTATATATATACTTTTGCAAAGTGTGTTGAATAGTTTTGTACTTTCTTTTCGATTTTGTAGGTTCTTGATGACAATGTAGACGTATAAGATATATATGGAAAATTACTTGACTATAGGATTTATATGATAAATGAACGTTTGTTGCCTACTGAATCATAGTATACATCGGAGCTAAATATGATTAACGGTAAATACTATTAAGTTTATTGAGTTTTTTTCTAATATACAAGAGGACAAGTGAATAAGAGCATCTGATTGGTAATTGGTGGATATACCTTTTCTTTGTCATCTAGTTGTTACATTGAAATGAAGGAGAATTACATAATACAAGTCACAGACCAGCTGTAAAATAAGATAAAACCGGAGCCAAAAGCTGGAGGCTGAAGACACATCTTCAGATACTAAACCGGCAAATTTAAACATGTTCCCAAAATCTAAGACGCGTGAAAGGAAGACCAGAAAATGCCACAACACAGTGAAGGTTTTTAAACTTGGGAACGCAGCCAAGAGCAACAACAATATGATAAGGCTGAAACCATACAAACCTCACCCGAAGATTACCTCAGCTTTGTAGCACAAAGGGAAAGCAAAAAGACAAGGCCATCGAAAACCAAGCTGACAAAATGCGGCTCTCTCGGCAAATAAGTCTACTTTTCCAATTCAATGAAGGACACTAAACCGCCGAGATGGAAGAATCCAGAAGAGACTGAACCTTCACACAAAACTTCTGATAATGGCATTGTCGGGGAAGCCCCGACTTGACGATGCCTAAGTATAATCCTCTGAACCAACAAAGATCTCGACAAGATCTTAACAGTAGAGACAAAAGCAAGCCCACACTGATCGGAGCATACCAAACACGAAAAAAACAACGGTACACAATTGAAACCAGACAGAACAAAAGTAACCCTAGGCAATAAGGAAGATCTAAGAGATAAACTCGACACCAAAACCCAAACCAAAGTGGCCTATGATCCAATCACAAATCACACGATATAGAGGACTCTACCAATCGCAAAGCACACCATTGATGGATAAACTCAATTCAAATATAATACTTATAATTTTAACAAAAGTAAATAAAAAAAAAAAGTTGGGACAATTACAAAAATGCCATTTCGGGATGTTCATTTACAAAAATGTCATTAATTATAGATTTATGGGACAATTACAAAAATGTCATTTTTTAGTGCACATTTGCAAGAATGCCACTTAGGGTGTCCATTTACAAAATGCCACT